CTACTGATGTTTGCAATTTACTTCAAAATGTGTTGAATGAGGGGCGTCTGGGTGGCCCAGTTGGTTAAGCAACTGCCTTCAGCTCAGGTCATGATCCTAGAGTCCCAGGATCAAGTCCTGCATTGGGTCCCTGCTCAGTGGGGAGTCTGCTTCTCCCGCTACCTGCTCCCTTCTCACGCTCTCTCTCTCTCTCAAATAAATAAATGAAACCTTTTAAAAAATACATGTTAAATAAATGTTAAAACGTGTTGAATGAGATGGATGTGAAATAAAGGAAGTACCGTAAAATTTAACACTTCGATCTAGGTAGTGAATATACTTGTTTTCACTGTAAAATTGTTTCAACTTTGCTCTGTATTTACGATTTTTGAAATCCATGGTTGACCAAGCTCTAGCCCACCACCACCTCTCAGACATCCTCCCCCAGCATTCGTCACCTTGCCCACACACCTCCAGCTGAATGGCCTCCTTGCTGTTCTTGAATATAGAGGAAACATAATCCTCACACGGAGTACAGGCTTTGAATGCTCCTCCATCAAATACCCAGAAGGATCACTCCTCCACACTTCTACTCAAAAGATCTTTGAGAGAGGCCTTCCCAGACCACCCTGTATGATACAACCCACCGCAACATCCACCACCCCACCCTAACACTCATCACCAGCTAGCATGCTACATGCTTGCTTATTATCATCCTTGCCACCTACCTAGAATGGAAAGTCCACAAGAAAAATGATTTTGTTCTGCTCATTGTTGTTTTCCCAGCACCTTGAACAGGGTCTGGCTTGTAAAAGGCAATCAATAAATCTTCACTGAGTGAATGAATTAATAAATAAATGGGGTAAACGTAAGTGGCATGGCTTTACAAGAATGCAATCTGGCAAATCTATCAAGAGCCTTGGTGTATCTACTTTTATCGATCTCTCCAAACTACATGATCATAAAAATATGTATCTCAATATTCTTAAAGAAGAAAAAAAAAACTTAAGAAATCTAAATCAATGTCCAACCATAGAGGAAAGAACGTTTCCACCTCAGAGCCACTGATTTTACTGTATGCTGTTCTAAGCTTACCCTCGCTAAATCTTAATTTAGGCCACTTCCTTATTATTATGATCTCTTATTCTTTTCTTCATATTACAACATAAGTTGCATATTATTTTTATTTAAAATCCATCTTTCCTACTAGCTCCATTCGACCAAATACCATGTCTATTTTGCTCAAAATACATATTTTATCCCAGATCTGTGCTGAATAAATGAATGCCCTTTTTCTTCCCTTTTTTTTTTTTTTTAAAGCAGGCTCCATGACCAGTGTGGAGCCCAGCATAGGGCTTGAACTCACAACCCTGAGATCAAGACCTGAGATGAGATCAAGAGTTTGAGGCTTAACCAACTGGCCACCCAAAAGCCCCAATAATGAACACTTTTAAGTCCTCATAGTTCATGGCACCAAGTTGGTCTATGTATAACACTGGGAGAAAAAAATAAAATCAAGAATGTAAGTAGGACATATTAAGATGACTACAATAAAAACTGAGATAACAGCTCATAGAATTCAAGGAATTGTGAAGGAAGAGCACAGAACAGCTTATTTTTTCATATGAATCACACACAAAAAAACTATTCGATTTTTAATCCACATACAATCTTGATTTTTTTTAAAGTTAAGGATTTTAAGCAAGAGAACCTATATTTATATGACCAAAAAGAGGCAATGAGATTGTTAGGAATGAGTGGGAAAGGGGCCTGTTTATCTAGAACCTCAACAAATAATCATGCTTTCTTATGTGACATCAGATGTGTTGAGAGAAGGGACCTGACAGCTTGGGAAAGCAGGGAAGGCTGGTGTTTCCCTCCAGCCACCCCATATACAGAGTGGTGGGAATTGGGCAGTACAGCAACTACTTCTGGGCAATTCTGATCCTAAGCGAACTCCACTTAACCGTATGTTGAGACACCATTTAGGCCTTGTTCAAATTTGTGCAATTCATAAACAAACAATTTTTTTAAAGGTGTAACCAGGATCTGTTTACTTTCATAATCTGAGTCTCACAGGTTATATAAAATCAAGAGAAGGGAACCCTGTTTCACAAACTTGAAGCAAAAAAATCGAGCTATGGCTTGGACAGGGATTGACTTCCCGCCCACTCTCACGTACTCAAAAGCAAGTATGATTTATGGTCTGCAAAGATTCCCTAAGAGCCAGGATTATTTCTGGGTTGACCAACATAAGCTCCCCACTGTCTAGCACATGGTAACACTTAAATGATTACTGAATAACTGACGAGTGATAAACAAGTTTTGGAAGGGTTTAGTTAGTAATGGGTTACAGTCACAGTACTCTATAAAAGATGAAGAGTTGAAGGCACATCATAAGCTTGCATAATGAAAACTAAAACTGAACTGCCAAAGTACTTGCATGGCATATCTTTTGCTATCACATTTGGGGAATAATGAAGTACAGCTCTAAGATCAGAGGCTTTGAACCTGAAGTCAGATAGAATTGGGTTTGAATTCCAATTCCAACTCTTACAAGCGGTATGATGTTACCACCTGTGAAACAGGGTAACTTCTACCTCACAGTCTACGACAGATGAGATTCTGTGTCTGTAAAATGCTTTGAACATAGTAAGAGCACAATCAATGTAACAGAAGGAGCTCATTTTCCCAACCTCCTAATTCTTGAAACAGTCCTCAAAGGACTATAATACTATAATAATAAACAACCAGTTACTGAATATTGCATGAAGAAAAGATTATTCAAGTCTCTCAAAATGCAATCTGGGCATAAGAATTACGTTAAAGAGGTAATTTAAATTACTCAGAAGACCTTTAAGTCACTCAGAGATAGACACAAGTTAACTTTAAAACTATTAAAAGTGATACCTCTAATTATAACCAGAACAAGTGGGTAGCCTGAGTACTACCAAAGGAATGTACTCAGTCCAGTCAACACCCCTAATCACACAGGCTCAACCTTCTTGTTAAAGCTCTAGCTTCCCCTCCACCTTCAAGTCTGTCAACAGTGTAATGGATCACAATATTGTATCTATTAATAAGAAAAAGTTACATTTACAAAATCTCTTCCCCTGATCACAACCTAGAAGTTTTTCTCTTGGTAGGAAAAAAAAGAAAAAAAAATCACTGCCTAATTTTAAGTCCTCTGTCTATGCCTTCAGTGTGATACTTAAATTACAAACAGCATTGCAGGGCCATGAAAAATGTCAACTACACATCCCAAAAGGCAAAAGAAAGAGGACGCTCATTTCACGACACACCAGCATACCATCTCTGCAAAATAAAGCCAATCTTTAAAAATAAGAAATATAAAACCCCTAATCCTAAATAACTAATAGTATCATCGTAATTACATGATTAGATGGAAGACCAAAGTTCATCAGCAGTGACTTATCAAAGACTAAATAACTTTTTACTTAAATTATTAAAGAATTATGAAGTCCAATGTGATCATTACTTAATAATCTTTATGCCACTGAGGCCAAATTCTGTACTCACAAACATCCTGAAGTCCTTTAAATTTAACATAATATACTATGTTTTCCTACATACCTTTTAAGAAAGAATGATATTACCCAACAGAAGAGGTGGGAAAAACTCTAGCTGAAACACACACATACACAACGGGGTTTGAAAAATTTGGTGAGTGAATTTATTAAAGGTACAAATAGCCCTGAGCCTCCAACTGCAAAAGAACCACAGAACAGAAGTCCACCCCCCCACCCCCCACCCCCATCCACTGGAGAGATCTGATATTTCGGCCAGGCCAGAATGTACGTACAAGCCAAAGTATGCAATCTGTACTACGGTTCACTCAGCTGTGATCCTACAAAGCCTCCGTCTCTTTTAGGACATTTTATTTTTGGTCATCCCAAAGAGGAACATGTAGGATTTAAGAGGCAAACTGGGACCAACATTAGGCAATTTTAAACACTTATCATAATTGAAATTTATCTTTCATAGATACACAGACATAAAATAACCTTTGTTCAAATTCCTGTACTACATCATTATGTCTGATCACAGGAAAAAAGAGACACTCAAGCTTTTTCAATATAGGGAACAAATTACATAAATCAAGGAAAATCCAAATAATGGAATTATATGCAGCTTTTAAAATTCAGTGAAGAAGCTCTCTGAATACTGACATTATGAGTACAATATAGCAAGGTACAGACTAAGTTGTATAATGTGCTCCCATCTGTTAGGGAGGGCAAGGAGGCAAAAACAAATTTATTTATGTTTTTATTTACATAAAACATAGCTAGAAGGATACATAGCAAACAAGAAACCCGGGGTGCCTCAAGAGGAAATGGGAGACAAGGATGAGAGGGAGTTTTTGTTTGTTTGTTTGTTTAAGATTTTATTTATTTATTTGACAGAGAGATCACAAGTAGGCAGAGAGGCAGGCAGAGAGATGGGGGAAGCAGGCTCCCTGCTGAGCAGAGGGCCCAATGCAGGGCCTGATCCCAGGACCCTGGGATCATGACCTGAGCCGAAGGCAGAGGCTTTAACCACTGAGCCACCCAGGCGCCCCAAGAGGGAGTTTTTTAACTTTTCATAACCTCGAGAATTTTGTACCACATGACTGTTTTAACTGATTCAAAACACTGATTTTTAATGACTGCTAATTTTAAAAAAACAAAAGAAAAAGCCTTCTATAAGCTTGTTCACTCTTTTGGAAAAAGGGAGGGAAATAATAATAATACCTACTCAACAGAGTTACTAGGATGAAAAAATGAGATCTTGCATGTAAGGTGATTCCCACAATTCCTGGTCTGACATCACAAATCATTTACAACCCCTCTGTCCCCTCACTTGCCCCTTGTTCCTTGTGCCCTGTTACACACACAGCAGCCTCTCAGCAACTGCTAATGAAATAAATGGATGAGACCTTACAGAAAGTATGGCCAGGGTTCACATCAGCGAGCATGCTGCCCAGTATTGTATTTTAGGGATTCAACCTTCTCCAGACTTACCGGAATGCTCCAGACCTGCATTCCATCACTGTAGCCGATCATAATCAGCAGAGGTGGCTCATTCCCAGTGCTGTGTATTTCATGAAATTCCAGATTTCTTGATGTATCTGCATGAGAATTAAGCCACAAAGAAGCAAATCAAAAAGAAAACAGCTACACTTCTTTAATATTATTAGTCTAACAATTGTTTATATTGTTTTTCAGTAAAAATTAAGTATTTGGAAGACATCATATGTGTAAGAAAGTGAACAGGAAGCTGAAATTACAAAACCAGTAGTTGGGTTGGTTTTTTTTTTAATAGTACCTATAATTATCTGCACAAGTAAGATTTTTTTTTTTTTAATGCTCACTAGAGGGGCACCAGGGTGGCTCGGTTGGTTGGACGTCTGCCTTTGGCTCAGGTTATGATCTCTAGGTCCTGGAATCCAGCCCCATGTTGGGCTCCCAGCTCAGTGGGGAGTCAGCTTCTCTCTCTCCCTCTCCCTCTCCCCCTGCTTGTGATCTCTCTGTCTCTCTCTCTTTCTCTCTCTCAAATGAATAAATGAAATCTTTCTAAAAGAAAAAAAAAAAGTGACTCCTTTAAAAAAAAAAATTCTCACTAGAGAACTTAGGAATATTAATACCAGGAACAAAACCAGAATCTATAAATGATACATGAAAAAAAATTTACAAAAATTAATTAAATATAAATATGAAGTATAACCTACTAGATTTTCTAATATTTATATACTTAACAGTGGAAGACAAGTTATGTTCCTTCATATTTAAGAATTTAATTCTGATATACCTGAACACCGGGCATATGGTCCACTACAAGAGAATTATAGATACTTGTCTAATCACTTCCAATTCACAATAGTGAATATTAAGCATCTCTTATATAGTCAGTATTATGAAAGATATCCTTCCTGAACAAAATTATTGCACCTCACAAAACACGAATTCAAGCATTCTAGTCTCAAATCATGACCTTATCCTCTAGCAAGTTTTCTCAACCACTTCCATTATGATCCATTCCCTGACTTCATTAGGCCTTCTGGTCCACCAACAACCCTGCCTTCTCCCTATTTTTCGGGCCACCTTATGTTGACTCTCCTTCCATCTTACGGTCTTTGATCAATCATCTCAGTAACTTCTGCCAATAATCTACAGTCTGATCTCTCTTTATGGGATCTCTGCATGGCACCTATCTCACAAAATATCAATCCCAGAAGAACCCTAGTACCTGTTATCTTCATACACTCTAAGGCAATCAAGTATGCTACAGGAATATCGCACAATTAGACAGAATTTGGTACCACTAAAATAAATTTATTTCTACAAACCTCAATGGACCCTCAAAACAGCACAGCACATTTATTCTTTTTTCTGGAACTTCACCTAGAATTTCTTCAATGACTTTCTTAAGCTTTCTCCAAGCCCTGACTCCACCCAGTCTCTCCTTACTCAGCAGATAGTCTGTCACAGACGGCACAGAGAAACCAGAAATCTGTTGCTGAAGATCCGAGTGCATTGGTACCACTCTGTTCTCATTCCATCCCATTACAAATAGTTGTCTTTCCTTCTCTCTAGAGTAAATTTCTGCATCTGCACTTTGGATCTCATCCTCCCCAACCTTCTCAGGAGCCTTTTTCTAATCATTTCTCTCCTGTATCTTCAATACTTTCCATGCTACTAAATATTTTCAATGAGCACTTGAATATGTTGAAGTGTCTCCTACCTTTTAAAAAATTTCAAGTAAATCAGTGCCAGGGAAATTTAGATGTAAATAACAAAGGTAAAATTACATGAGTAGATAATGTAGAAGGACACTTTCGTCATCATGGTACAGAGAAAGACTTCTTAATAGGACACCAAAAAACTCTTTGCATAAAAGACTGGCAAATTCTACCACATTATCTCTTACATTAAAATGGAGAAATCCTGCTAATCATTAGCCACCCTTACCAGAAAAGTGAAAAGGCAAGCCATAGCAGGGAAGAGACTTAGAACAACTATAACCCCACAAGGACTCATCTTGTACATGTAACAGTTAAAAATCAGTATGAAAAAGATAAGTCACTAGAAAAACAGGCTGGAGACATGAAAAAACACTTCAAAAAGAAGACATTCAAATAAATCCACCATCAATAAGCATGAAAAGTGGCTCAATCTCATTTGTAATTAAGGAAGTGCTGATTAAAACCACAATGACAAAACCAAGTGTTGGCGGGATGTGGCATAAAGTACTGCTTATTTACTGCTAAGGAATGTAAATCAGTACAACCAGTTGGGAAAACAGTTTGACAACATACGCCCACATTGAAGATACAATGCCCTTTGACCAAGTAGCTCCAATCTAGGTATTTACTCATTAGAAAAAAGAGCGTATATACGCCAAGAGACAATCACAAGAATATTCACAGCAGCATTATTTGTGGGTTTTTTTTAAGATTTTATTTTTTTAAGTATTCCCTACACCCAACGTGGGGCTCAAACTCACAACCCCAAGATCAAGAGTCACCAGCCAGGCTCGGTTAGCAGCGTTACTGGATAAGAGCCAAAAGTTGGAATCAATCCAAATGTCCATCAAAAGGAAAGTGGACAAGCACAGCAGTATACTGAAACAATGGAACACTATTCACCACAGAAAAAGAATGAACCACTGTCATACATAACAGGCATGGATCTCACAGACAAAATGAGCAAGAAGAGCCAGACACAAGAAAACTCGATAGCAAATAATTCTATTGATATGAAATGCAAAACCATGAAGCAATTAGGTAACAATATTCTCTTACCCTAGGTGATGGTTACACAGGTGCTGGATTTGTAAAACTTCATTCACTGATCTACCCTTTTGTATTATTTACCATGATATATTTGCACAATAAATAAGGCTTTAAAAAAATCATAAATTGAAACAATAAAACCCTCTCCCTTTACTTGACTTCATTACTGTCCTCTCCTTCTAGAAGATGAACTCCTTGATGAAGTTGTAATTATCATCTATACTTCATCTCTCATTCACCCCAAATCCATTTCAAAATGGTTTCTGCCCCCAATACTCCTCCCAAGTAACTTCTGCTGTGGTCACCAGTAATCTCCAAGTTGTTGAATGCAATGTATGTTTTTCAAGCCCATCTTGTTAGACTATTTAGCAGCTATAACCAACGCTCACCATCTTCTCCTTAAAATATTTTCCTTTGGTTTTCCAGGTATAACCTTCTCCTGGTTTTCCTCCTATCACTCTAATCATTCTATGACCACTCCTTCCCCTGGCTCATTCCTTTCCACCTACTCTTTAAATACTGGAGTTGTTCAAAGCTAACTAACTCCTAAACACTGTTCATGAAGTATAACCTCCAAAGTGGTCTCATTCCATCCACTGCTTCTCTTAGTATCTGCTAGTGACTTCCTCAACATGGGTTTTTGGATGTCTCAGTAGAAGATCAAATTCCACTCAAAAATCATGATTTCCGGGGCGCCTGGGTGGCTCAGTGGGTTGGGCCTCCTCCTTCGGCTCAGGTCATGATCTCAGGGTCCTGGGATCGAGTCCCGCATCAGGCTCTCTGCTCCGCAGGGAGCCTGCTTCCTCCTCTCTCTCTCTCTCTCTCTCTGCCTGCCTCTCTGCCTACTTGTGATCTCTGTCAAATAAATAAATAAAATCTTAAAAAAAAAAAATCATGATTTCCTCCACAACCTGATCTTCCTCCAGGGTTCTCTATTTTGGTAAATAGCATGACTATCCAGCCAGTTGGCAAAGTCGAGAATCACCTTCTTCCTTTCCTCTAACAATAAATCTATCAGCAATCTATCACCTGTGTCTTAGTAAACAGCTCTCTGCTTACACCATCACTACTCTGTCCATTAAAACGTAAACTCCAAAAGCATAAAATGGCTTCCTACATCCATTGTTACCCACAAACTCCATACAAAAGAGTACTTTTTTACAAAATATAAATAATGACATATCTCCTCACCTCCATCCTCTATATTAGTGACTTCCTGTTGCCCAAATATAAAGATCAAAATGCTCAACATAGCTTCTAATCAGTAATTTTTAATACTGATTTTCATTTGACAGGAATTCACTGGTACAAAGTTAACAGCACATGATTCTATCTCCAGGAAAATTCAGAATTATAAACTTATTTTCCAAAGGCGTAATTCTCTTTATACCTAACATTTACACGGTCTTTTATAGTTTTCAATGTGCTGTGATATATAGATCAGCTAATCTGACAACAATCCTGTTTTATGCGCAGAGCAGGAGCCAATTTCATTTTATCATTGACGAGAACAAGTTAGGTATAATGTACTCAAAGCTGAAAAGAAATCTCAGGATTCTTGACACTCAATCCAGTCATCTTTCTACTACAGCTACCATCTTGATCACAGGTTGTTACTTTTAGAAGGGCTCAAATGCCACATACAAAACCCTGAGGTCATTATATGAACAAAATCTCCTTTCTCTTATTTTAGATTCTGCCCAGTAACTTGTACTATTTTTCATTCTCTAGATGGTGGTACAGCAGACTTTATCACTCTGGAATGGAACTTCTAATTTTGTAAAAATTGAAGTTATTCTTCAAAACTGTTACAGCTTTAGGTAATCCTTATTCTTTGACTTTTCTTTATATCCTCTATTATTCCATCACTGGTTATTCTAACCATAACTGTTCTTTATCTTTTCTACTGGTTTCTTTATCCTTATTTGCTCCCAAAATATGGACTTTACAGTCTTTCCTATAGAGACATGTAGCATTCTTCTGTGGTTTTAGTCAACTACAACATTCTCCTTTCATTCACCCATCCTCCGAAACCTTGACCACTCAGTATACTCGCCCTCCTTAGAAAAATGTTTGCAACTGGGGAACAGAGGCCCACTGGGTGTTCTGCTCATCTAAAAAATCAAGGTATAAAGTGAAATTAGATCTTTCTCCCAAACCAGCTGCTTCTGTATTCCATGTGTGTATTAATAGCAGCAGTGTACTGCCAATACTCAGTCTAAAAACTGGGAAGTCATTTTTAGTAGATGCTAATAGGTGAATGAGGATTAAGGCAGGAAAGAACATTCAACCAGAAGGCCCCCTGTACAAAGATCCTGAGGCATGAAAAGTTCTGT